ATTCGTCAGTTGTTCAAAAATTTTAAATGTTGTTATGATCACCACGTAAGTTATGACAAAAATTTGAAAATTTTACGTGCTAGTTAGTGTTTGCTTGTTAGATAATGAGTGTTTTTGTAACTTCCTTTATATGTCTGTGAATTTTTTTGCCATGTTTCAGCTATCTTCTTGAAAGTAAAATTGGCCATCGGATATCGTTGCATGTTTAGCTACATCGCATACAGTAATGCCTAAAGAAGCAGGAGGGCATAGAATAGTGTAGTACACAGCTTAAACATCCAGTGGTAGATCCAGATATCTGGCCATCTAACCTTACGTCTATCAAGCCATTTGTCATTTTTTAACCTTTCTAGCATCCATTTAACCAGCCATCTATCCATCAAGCAACTATGCAACCAGCCAAGCAGCCATCGCTTAATTCGACGAGCCATTAATTCATCGATTGAACAGTCCAACCACTTATACATTAGCAATCTATGAACTCATCGTTCATCTTTTCAGCCACCCTAAAATCTAATCCTCCATCCATCCACAAATCTATCCAATCAGTCATCCATCCAAGCGGCATCAACCTACCGTCTATCTAATAACCCAGTCAGCCATACATCCATTCATTCAACGAGCCAATATTGCATCTATTGATACATCCAACCATCCATACAGCAGCATTCTATGTACTTATCGTCCGTCCTTTCAGCCACCTAAAAATTTAGTCGCCGATCCATCCAGCCAATTATTTAGCCATTCAGCCACGCATAGTTCAACCCTTGCAACCATTCATCATGTCTATCATCACTCATGCCACCTATTCATTCAGTCGTTTATCAAGCTATTCAGTCAAGCATTCATCCATCCTGCCATCCATCCATCTAGCTGTGCATCGTCCAGTCGACCAATGTCCATCCAGTAAATTATCCGTCCGAACATCCTTTTAATCATTCTTCTATGAAAGTAAAGTAAAATTAAACAAATTGAAACAAAATAAAAGGTAAGGTAAATAGAATGAAATAGAGAAATCTTAACTAAAAAAAGTAAAATAAAGTAAAATAAATTAAGTGGGTAGAATTGTATGTATGTATGTATGTAAGAAAAAAGTAAGTAAGTGTGAGAGTAAGTTAGTATTTCAGTAAGCAAGCAAGTAAATAAATAAGTAAGTAAAAACATAGTATGTGACAAAAAATAGTTAAATAAGAAAGGAGGTAGGTAAGTAGAAAGGGTAGGTATTCTAGGTATATTTTAGGTATGTAAAAAGTAAGTAATTCAGTAAGTAGGTCAGTAAGTAAGTAAGTGAGTAAGTGAATAAGAAGTTAGTAACTAAGTGAGTAAGTGAGTAAATAAGTAAGTAAGTATGTATGTAAGTAAGTATGTAAGTAAGTGAGTAGGTAGGTAGGTGAATAATTGAGTCGGTAAAGTAAACGAAAGTAAGATGAAGTAAAGCAAATGAAAAAACTAAAAGAAGAACACAACATTCAGTAAAAACATCAAAGAAAGTTAATTAGCTGGTGTTGAAAAAAGATTAGTCAAGTAAAAAAAAATAGGCCAATTAAGTAAAATACGTATAGTTAGGTAAAGTAAACTAATGTATGCATGTTGTTTTGTCTGTCAAAAAGTATTCAAGTGTCTGTGTATGTTTGTATGCATCTATGTAAAATGTATCTATAATAGTATGTAAGTATTAAGTATCCTAGGAAGTTTTTTGTTAGGTTAGCATGAAAATAGGTTTATTTAAGTAAAGTAATGTAAAATAAATTGAAATAAATTTAGAAGAACATAATGAAAAAAACTAAATTTAAGCATGAAAGTAATCAAGTAGGTTCAAAAAAAACACAAAGTGAGAAGAGGTTGAATCAGAAGTAAATAAAAAGTAAACGTTAATTGTTAGGTAGTGTAAGTGAAATAATTGAGGAAGCAGCTGAATAAAGAATGTTCAAGATTGAAACTAAAATGAAAGAATATCAAGACCAGCTAGTCTAGCGGTAACGTACTTGACCTGAAACCGAAAGGTTGCCGGTTCGAATCCCGGTCATTCCAAGTATCTTACTACTAAAAATCTTGGAATATACTTGATTTGAGCCGGGTAAAAAATGTTCCTAAGTCAAACTTGTTTTTAAATGATGTTCTGGACATGAATTTAATTAGACTTTGGCCAGAATTGACTTCTAACTTCTGGCAAGCATAAAAATCCCCACTTATTGGCAAAAGTACTGACAATAAAGTCGCTTTCGATTTCAATTTCGTTTAAAACTTGATAATTTTGTTCCAAAACAGATATTATTCCGTTGTTTCCTCTTAATGATTTTCGATAATTATTGAAGGGAATATATATATATATATATATATATATATATATTGAACAATCGTGTTCTCAATCGAGATACATACAGCCAATCTACAGACCGACGATATACTCGACCGACCCACCACATACCGAACACAGGTGGAAACATGGTCCGCCGACAATCGATGACAAACCAGACGAAACCCTTGAGGACTCAGTTTTTTGTGAGTGAGAAGTACCTCAGTGAAAGATGATTGTGCAATTTCACGAAAGTGTATGCAGACAGCTACCTGCAAGTGAGACAGGAATCTCCCCAACCGTTTTTGATGGCCGAAGTTGACAAAAGAACTATTGTAAGACGTAACTTTTCAGTTTAGTTTCTTCATAAACCAGAGCTATGATTGTTTCACGATCCTTTAAAGTTTTTTATTGTGACCCATCAAATCCATTCAGTGTGCTGAAAAGTTGATTTTATTATGTTTATTGTGCTTTTGCCAGTATTCTAACCCGAACACCCCACCCAGAAAATCCGAAATCCAAAAAAAAATCGAAAATTGAAAAAATTTGACTTAAAGTTAAAATTTTGGTTTCATTTGCTAGTTTATAGTTAGTAGTCGATAACTCAAACCCGAACCCACCGTTCCGACCCGTTAGAAAAAAAGTTTGTGAAAATTTTTGGGAAAATTTTCGCAAAAAATTGAAAAATCCGAAATCGACCCCAAATCGTCTAATTTTGGTACCAAACTGACGTAGACGATAAGAAAAAATAAATTTCGAAAAAAAAAAATTGTCATTTTTTTGCGAAAAAAAAACAGCCCGGCAAACGTAAGCACTGCAAAATTACGCAGTGTACAGAGCCCTTAGCACTATATCAAGTCAATCTTTTTGAGTTTTTGCAACTCCGGTTGTTTCTGAGCAGGTGTGAGATTCTCAAAATCCGGTTGACTTGATTCCTCCCAGATTTTTTTTATCGTGCCGAATGCCGTCGTGAATGTATATATTAGCCGCTAGCTCGCTCTCTCGTGCTCATAAAACGCTATGTATAGCCGAGCAAAACCGTATATCGCAATACTGTTATGCCCTTGGTGGTTTAAGTCTCAACCACAAGTACCAATCAAAACGTGCCCAAACCTTTTTAGACGGCGAATTAGCCCATACAAATGATATAATAATCTGGCACGACCTGATCAACAATTCAATCAGCAAGCACAATAGTAACAACGATACAGCATTCACGGATATTGCCAACGAGACGAAACTCCTAATATCTACGATTTGCTTTGCTAAACGGGCATTTTAATTTTAAGCGTGACTGGTGACTTAATCTCTAAGCGTAAGCAGAAAGACACTCGCTTACTCCGTCAGTACTTCCAAATTCACCAAGAAACTGACCTTGAACTAAAGTCTTTCTCGGTAGTCCGAAGTAATACGGCAAACTTAAGAAAAATAAAGAACCAAAAAAAGCGACCCTCTCAAAAAAAGCGTCGAGCCGAGCGCAACCGCCGCCTAGCTGTCGAATCTGCAGCAAAGAACCGTTGATATTCTTTGTAGTGTCAATGTATTTCAATTTGTAATTTAATTCTAAATTACTGTTTTCCTTTTTTTTTATTTCCGTTCGCTCTTAATCGTAAAGGCGAACTTCCCCACCCCCCTTTGTAAAGTAAAGTGTGACAATCTTTATTGCAACTCCGGTTTTTTCTGAGTAGGTGTGAAGAGTGACATCACACTTGACTTTTTAATCCCCTTTTTTCGATAGTTCACAACCGCCCGCTTTTCCTTTATTTAAAGCTAATTCATGACAGATAAGCAAACTCAGAAGCTGTCTAGGTGTTTTGACGGACGTAGGAAATATGAGTAGGAATTTTATAGGCTTTTTTCAGATCTGAAAGACTCACTCTTAGCAAAGGTAAGGACAGTCAAATTTGAAAGGTCTATCCAGCAGTGCCAAATAGCAATAGAAAACGCAATAAGGAAAAACGACGAAATTCGCATTCTTGCTCAAAAAACGCTAGAACCTAGCAGTGCTCTCGCTAATCTTGACACTTGGTTGATCAGCATTACTTGCGCTCGAGATGAAATGCTGGAATTGTCAATCAAGCACTTGGAAATGGCGAAAACTTTGTTTCCAGTGACTGGAGATGCTGACCCGCAAGCATCGCGAGCTGCTTCAACTGTCAGTCGGTCCACCCGATATAGTTCCCTGCACTCTAGAGCGTCTTCAATGACTTCCAGTCAGCGCAAACGCGAACTCGAAATAGCAAAATTGCGACGTCTTGAAATCGAGCGACAAAAAGAAACAGGTATCCGCCTAAAGGAAAAAGAAAACGAATTGGCTCTTGAGACACTTGTTGAGGAGAACAAACGAAAGCTCAATGAGGCCAAAATAGTTGAAACAGAGTTAATGGATGATGATTTGGACATTGAAACTGATATCAATAAAACCGCTCTGCCTTCGAGTAGAACACAACAAGTTGTCGCTGAAACCCGAACAAAGGATTGGGTTGATGAAGCACTCGATACACATTCGTCGGAACTTGCATCAACTATAACCATTGTTCCTCGACAATAACCTCAACCTCCGGGCATCGCCAATTTGGTTTCTTCGTCTCTACGACCAAGCACGGTTGATCTAATAAACGTCCATCGTTTTCCATCCAGTAGCAACCCAAGCGCCATTACAATCGGTGGTATCATCTACCGTTCATAATTTGAAGATTCCTTCTCAACCTCTCCCACCGCCGCCGCCACCACCACCCCCGCCCCCGTCCTCGCCCCCGCCTCCTTTCATTCCACGTATGCCAGCAGCAATGGTCCCCACATTATATGCTTCTGTCCCAATTAATACAACAGTCAATACGGCAACCCATGATGAACCTGATTCCTATTACTACTCCACCAGCGAGTATTAATAACTCAACTCGTGTTTCAACAAATCAACCATCCTTCAACCATCCACATCCAGTTCGTTATATACCCAATATGAATAACTGGAGACTGGCACCTCCAACCAACGCGCCATTTACCGCATCAGATTTTACAGTACCCCAAGCGTTAAATACCGTTCAAACTGTCACACCAATAGTTCAACCACCACTTTCACAATACCCGTGCACTGTTGGAGGGACAGTATTTTAAAATAACCAAGCGCAAGGGTCAACGCAGTAGTTGCCTCAAGTCCCCAGCTATCCGCATAGTGCCTTAGCTTATCCGACATCTTTTTTTCCTCAGCCACACAATTTCGCTTCAACCTCAGTTCAACCACCACCTAATGCAGTAACCCTTGAAGATTTAAAGGAAATACTAACTTTCAACCGTAAGGATCCATTACCACCGTGGAACCTTAGAAAATACGGTGGCTGTCCACTTCAGTGGTTTGAATGGATTGGACAATTCCGAAGTTCTGTGGACTCTCAAAACTTGTCAGATGATGTTAAGCTGCATTACATTAAATCATTAGTTAAAGATAAAGCTGAGACTGCTATAGCTGAGTTTGCCTTTAGTGGTACGATGTACAAAGATGCTCTCATGAAACTTGAGAGAAAATTAGGCCAACCTCAAATCATAATACGTGCATATCTGGACAAACTTTATAATTCACCGCCCGTTAAGATGCATAGTTCCGACAGCATCATAAGTTTTGCATCCGTGATAGCAAGCATAGTTGGAGTGTTGAATTCTTTACATTACAACGCAGACCTTGAAAGTGCAACACTTCTCGATAAAGCAATAGAGAAGCTCCCACCTAATATGAAAGAGTCTTGGTCGTTCCACACCGTAAAACGGAGTTTGTATGCTCCGTCTTTAATTGATTTCAATCATTGGCTGGAGGATAAAGCTGAAGCGCATGAACGTATGCGTCCTTCATCAAATTACAATAGAAATCAGGATAATTCAGTTCGGACAAAAACCAATGTTAAAATGTTTGCCGCAAACTCGCAAGCTAAGTTTGACGCAAATATTCAATATAGTCCATGTTTAGTTTGTAAAGGCAAGCATTCAAATTCCAAATGTAACGTTTTTAAAGAAAAAACTCCAACACAGCGTGCTAAATTTTACGCTGAAAATAAGCTTTCCTTTTCTTGTTTTCAAGGAAATCACATGTTTAGGAAATGTCCCAAGCCCAAAACTTGTCCTAAACCACAGTGCAAGAGCACTCATAATGTGTTACTGCACGGCGCAGAGCGCGTTTTCCCTACAAATAACCAATCTGGTTATGCACCGCCACAACTGCTGCCAATCCCGCAGTTCAAACTCCATTTAGACCCACGACGCAAAATAATACTTGTGGGACATCCCTTATGAATCTAAAAGGACTGGTGCCACTTATAAATCTCACATTATCATCAAATGACTCTGAAACCACCGCACTTGTGTTATGTGACACAGCTTGCAGTCACTCTTGTATTTCACCTGAACTCGCTCGCAGACTCTATCTGACAGGTAGGAAAATTGCTTTGACTGTCATTGGCGCCAATTGTTCCGAAGATATTACTTCAGAACAAGTTGACTTGAACGTTTCTTCTGAATTTGATCCAGATATTTCGTTCACCGTTTGTGCAAATGTAAAAAACAACATTTACATAGGTTCAGGTATAATTAACGTTCGTAGGTTGCAAGAGAGATACTCTCACTTGGAATCAATTGATTCAGTCGAATTTCGGTACGCTGATGTCGAAATGATTTTAGGTCAAGATGTTTATGAGTACATTTGTCCTCTGGAATAGTACCAGGCAAAAATCACCTTTCGCCGTTCGCCTCCCAATTAGATGGGTCTTAAGTGGTCCACTCCCTGCCACCACCGGCCTGATCTCAACATGCTTGCATTGTAACATCGAAGATGTAAGTTTGGTAGAGCAGGTCAAATCTTGGTACGAAATTGAATCATACGGTACGTATAAACAAGTAGATGCCCGATTGTCAGACGATAAAAGGGCGAATAAAATTTTAGAAGCATCAACTATACATGATGGTGATAGATACGCCGTTGGGATGCTTTGGGCCGAAGACCACTCACAGTTGCCCAACAACTACTACTCCGCCTGAGCACAACTTAAATCTCTGGAAAAACGTTTAGACAGAAACACAAACCTCAGGGCTTTTTACGCAAAAAACATTCAAGAAGATTTTGACAAAGGTTACGTCATCAAAGTGAATACACATGACTGCACAAATCGTTCCGCTAGGGAATGGTATCTTCCTCAACACCCCGTGATTAATCCAAACAAACCCGGAAAAGTTCGCCGCGTCCTAAATGGTGCAGCCAAATTTCATGGATCGTCCTTTAATAAGCTCTTTTGGTTGGCCCAGACTTGCTTCAGAATCTGCTGACCGTCCTAATGAGATTCCGTCAACAGCAACATGCAGTATCAGCTGATATTGAAGGCATGTTCCTTCAGGTTGGTGTTCTCCCAATCGACCAACTGTCACTTCGTTTTCTGTGGCGGGAGGATCCCACAACCGATGTGGTAACGTATCAATACACGCGACACATTTTCGGAGCTCGTGACTCGCCCACATGTGCTAATTTTGCTCTTCAAAAGACAGCTCGCGACAATTGTTCCCCGACGCAGCGTCAGCCGTGATGCAAAAATTCTATATGGACAATTATCTTGATTCGTTTCCCGAACCTGAACAGGCAATAAAATTAAGTAAGGACCTTGTAGAACTACTTAAGTAAGGAGGATTTAAGTTGGCAAAATTCGTGAGCAATGTCAAAGAGATTCAGAAAGAGTTAAGTACGTCAAGCGACAATTTAAGTCAAGTTAAGGAGATTCTAAGTAGTGAAGGTCAAGAATCGCATGTTCTAGGTTTGAAATGGGATCACGTTCTCGATACATTGGTAGTTAGTCGAGTGTAAACAGAGAACTGAAGGATACTGTTACCCAACGTACAGTTCTAAGTTTTGTCTCTTCAGTTTCCGACCCTATTGGGTTAGTCGCTCCGGTACACTCTCAGAACCCGACTACTTCTTAAAGAGATTTGGAGAATCAGTGGTCAACAAA